AAGTGATGTTTAGTGAAATGTCAAAAAGTGCACTACACTATACATGAAGTGCAACTAATACACGTAAAAGTGGGTGAGAATGATTTCACACGTTAAGCCCTCTTTTTATTTGATCCTAACTATATATATAGAGGGGGAGATCAAATAAAAAGACTTATTTATATGCAAAGTGAGAATTTATCTCAGCCATCCATCTCAACCCTTGGATCTCTTACTAGATTATATGAAAGGGACTTTTTAGTCATCTGACCATTTCTGTAAATTCAGTATTCACAATCGTCCCTCCCTCCTTTGAACATCCAAATTCCCTTCTTTGACAAAGGCACATCAACGTTCACCCAAATTCTAAGGATTTTTATCTTTCGTTGTTTTCTTTGCACAACAGTAATACGATGAACCCCGGTAAGTTTTAGTGTGTTTGTTTTCCTGAATTCCTTATTATTTGTAAGTTCCCATTATCGTATATTCTATGTTATTTTTAATCTTCAAATGCTTCATTAAAATCATGAAAGAAGATGGTATTATTCTCGAAGTAAGATGTGTTTTCTATGTGTGCGTATGAAAATAATATGAATTGCTCTGTAATTCATATTATCCCATGTGTATTATCCCATGTGTTTGAAATTTTTGTTTTTCATCATTTTTGTAAATGTTTACGTATTTATGTGATATTTAAAATGTTATACTTACATTTGTTTTCCTATTTCTCATATTCTTTTACTTTCAACAATTCAGATTATGGAATACATTTTTTTAATGTTTTCATTATTTTAACCTGGCTAATATTATTGTTGGACAAAAGTTTTATTATGTCTCTTTGTTGCTACAACTACTGAATTTATAGCTACATCTATATGATATTGTACAAATTAAATCCTATAAGAATTTTGTCCATTTGTTATTTTTCTTTTGTTGTAGGCACTTCTTGTCATTTGCAGATATCCCCTGGGATGACCAAATATTGGGTTCCGGAATGTGACTTAGAAAGAAAGCCTGTAATTGGTAAGCTTTTCATGGACCTTGAAGAAGCATATCATTCTATAAGGAATATGCATCTTTGAGTGGCTTTGCAATTCGTCTTGATACGTCTTCAAAGGCTAGAGACGGGACGATTTTGTTCAAATATCATTTGGTTCAAATGATAACATGATCTAAGGAGGGAAATAAGAATGATTCTAGAGCATTGGATTTGAATATTGTGCATTATGTGAAACAGAAATGTGCACTTCCATAAATAAAAAATGTACATTTGAACTATGCATTATTTTAACCACAAATGTGCACATTCGAATTGTGCATCATTTTAACCATATATGTGCATCCCCATTAACCATAATGTGCATCATTTTGGACCGTGCATTTCGAAGAAGTGTTCTCGCCGGAACCCGACCTTATATATATATACAAGGTTTTGAAAGGCGAAATCGGGCCTCGAGGCGTTAGGGTGTAGCCTTCCGAGGCGTAAGCCTCGAGGCGTAATGAGGCGTAAGCCCTGAAGTTTAATTGGTTAAGTGTTGCTAGAAACCTATGACTTATTAGAAAGTATGGATAATTCATAAAAATAATGCAGCTTAACAAAATCACAAGTAAAACGAACATAATTATAAAATATATAAGTCAAAATAACATAAAATTGAAATACCAAAGTCAAAACTCAAGAGAAAATAAAACATCACACTGTAATCAAATTTAAAATTAAACTACTAAAGTACGTAGTATTAATTTTTTAACAAATAAATTAGTATTTACTATTTAGCAATAAAACCATCACACATAAACACAAATAAGCATTTATGATCTTTTAAATTCAAAACAGACACAAATATATTCATTAAACACTAAAAAATTAAATAAACAGACAACTATTTAATACTAAGTAACTTTTAATCATTCAAAACAGAACTTTTAAATAAATAAAAAGTTACTCCGTAATTATTAAAAAGTTTAAACCATAAAGACAAATACACAATAACAACTATAGAGTTGGGCGGTGGGGTATTCTATAATACCCGGATGAACCGGCAAAGCAGAGCTGCAGGGAGCTCCTGAAGTCTCTGTGTGGAAGTAATGGAGCTGAGCCGTTGGGGTCCCGGGCAGCTCTTCTTCGAGTTGCTAGTTGTTGTTTGTCGCTATTGTGGAAGAGTGGACCGGCAATTGGAAATTGGAAGACGAGGAGGACTAGGGCGGTGGCTAAGTGATTAACGACCCCGGTAATTCGTATTTAAGGATGAAAAAAACAAATCTAGGCCCCCACTAATTTTAAAAGCCCAAAGTTGCGTCAAATAAGAGGCGTACGCCTCTTGAACGCCCAACGCCTTAAGCCTGATTCTACGCCTCTTCATAAAAAGGCGCAAGCCTTGTTCCGGGAAGTTAAGGCTTAAGCCTTGCGCACGATAACAGGTCGCCTTTGCGCCTCTGGTGCGTAGAGGCGAAACGCCTTTTAAAACCATGTATACACGCACACACACACACATGGTTAAGCATCGTTCCAATGAGAACGATACTTAACGTGAGAACATGAGAACACTCACATTTAAATCAATGTGGTGCACAAATGAGCTCTTCTGTTGCACATTTTCAGTTTGCTCGAATTAAACCTCTATTAAATAAACACGGTAGCATTTTGGTAAATATTGTGAAAACGCGAAAAAGTGCAATATACAAGCTTCATTGTGCAACACGTTGGAGTAAATGTGGCGTTCTCACGTTCAGCATTGTTCGTATTTGATCTTTATTCTATATATATATATATATAGGAAAAAAATCATGTCTATCCGGATGGACAGGTTGCGCCGTCCGGCCGAGGCTATCAGAGGCCCTTCCCGGTGGAATTTTTTGATGAAATTCTTTGAGCATGTTCCTCATCAAACCTAGTTTATCCATACCAAATTTCAGATAAAAATTTGATCGGGAAGGCAGTCAAATAAATTTTTGAAGTGAAATTTTTTTTTGGAGATAACTGTGCTTTATATATATACTTCCTCCATTCTTTAATTCTTGCAACAATATGGTTTTTGTACTATTCACATACCTTACTATGACCACGATTTTCTATTGATATACATAATCAAATTATTACGTATAAAATGTTATTGAATTCTTATAAATGTGAATTTCCAAAATATCAACTTTTTATAATGTTTACTAGTACATAATTAAATATAATTACAGTCAAAGTTGTGGGTTGGCAACAGTGAAAATCAAACTGTTTCAAGAATTAAAGAACAAAGGATAGTATGTATATAATATATATATATATATATTATATATAAAATATATTATATATATATTATAAACAAAGGATAGTATATATATATATGAGTCCTCTTCCTGACCGGAACCGCCGTCCGGAAGGCGGCGTTTGGCCACCTTCCCGGTGGAATTTTTTGATGAAATTTTTATGGCATGTTCTCCATCAAGTCTAGTTTATCCACAAAAAATTTCAGCCAAAAACTCATTCGGGAAGCTCGTCAAATGATTTTTTCAAGTTAACTGGTCCGGAAAATGTATTTGACGAGCTAACTTGAAAAAATCATTTGACCAGCTTCCCGAATGAGTTTTTGGCTGAAATTTTTTGTGGATAAACTAGACTTGATGGAGAACATGCCATAAAAATTTCATCGAAAAATTCCACCGGGAAGGCGGCCAAACGCCGCCTTCCGGACGGCGGTGCCTGTCTGGAATTCCGGACATGAACATTTGTGTATATTATATATATATATATATATATAAACAAAGGATAGTATATTATATATATATATATAATATATATATATAAACAGCGCAGTGTTGTTCCACAATTTATTTTACTGCCTTCCCGATCGAATTTTGAGCTGAAATTTGGTATGGATAAACTAGACTTGTTGAGGAACATGCTCAAAAAATTTCATCAGAAAATTCCACCAGGAAGGGCCTCTGATGGCCTTGGCCGGACGACATCTTTTGTCCATCCGGATGGACAGGATCATGACTATATATATATATATATATATATATATATATATATATATATATATCACGAATGTTCCTGTCCAGCCAGGCCCCTGGTCCGGCCACCTCAATTTGAGGTGGTTCCCGGTGGTATTTTTTGCCCAAATTTTTTGTGTATGTTCCTCATCAAGTCTAGTTCATCCATACCAAATTTGAGCACAAAAAAATTAATCGGGAAGGCCGTCAAATGATTTTTGCAAGTTAACTGTGTTTTATATGTATATTCCAGACCAGTTAACTTGCAAAAATCATTTGACGACCTTCCCGATTGAATTTTTTGCTCAAATTTGGTATAGATGAACTAGACTTGATGAGGAACATACACAAAAAATTTGGACAAAAAATATCATTGGGAACCACCTCAAATTGAGGTGGCTGGACCAGGGGCCCGTCCAGCTTGGCCGGACAGGAAGAGCTCTCTCTCTCTCTCTCTCTCTCTCTCTATATATATATATATATATATATATATATATTGCAAAGCAAAAGGTAAACCTTTTACTACTAAGGTTAACCACACACCAAAAAAAGGATGTCAATGTAGTAGCCAAAGTTGTGATCTTATATTGAAGAGTGGACTTTTGAATCAAATTTTAGCTATCCAAGTATGAAGCATATATTTCTTTAAAAACATATATGGTTTCTTATTATGGCAGAGAGTGGTGCAACTACATGCTCAACAATTCAAGCATATTAAGGATGTTTTTTTATTGTACTGAAACTTTCTAGTCTGGTCTTGTCTTGTCTGATTAGGTCTGGACTAGTCTGAACTGGTATTGTAGATGTTTGGTCTATGTGTATTTTAATAATAACGAAGTCTGATTTGGTTTTTCTAAGTCCAATTTGGTATATTTATGTCTAGTCTGGGTTGATACTTTTCCAAGTAAAAACATGTTAAATCCACAGTTCAATTAAAAACTCAAAGTAGATAAAAGTATAGTTTTTGAAGTGTAGAATATTTGTGAAAGATGAAATTTAATTTTCATAGAACAAGTAATTATGTGAGAGCTCACCTCCTTTTCTCAGGAGATTTTAATGGGTTGTCACCTGCAAAAGTCCACAAATAAAATATGAGAATAGAACACAGACAATAAGGAAATAATCCCTTCATATCGTTGGACTTTGACAACTATCTTAAAATCTTTGTGTTTCTCCCATTAAAGAATCTAATTTGTGGTTCTGTTCATCTGCACAAACGTGAACCACACAATTTTTATTTTTCCAATGGGACAGAGGTAATATTTGATATCACTACTTTAAAAAAACATTCACAAATCAAAATTATATGATTAAAGTAAGATATCTCTTTCTCAGCATCCGTTACGGGATGATGGTTTTGATATCATAAATAAAAAAGAAATACACAAATAAAAAAATACATGATAAGGAAAATTTAAAAACAAAATTCACAAATCAACATTATATAATCAAAGGTATTTCTTTCTTGGCATTAGTTAAGGGATGATAGTTTTGCTATCATAAAGTAAGTTTTATTAGCAGTTGTTAACATAACAAAGGAAGTTTCCTGATTCAAAGAAAGTACAAAACAGCCTTAAAAGAACAGAGAAATAAACCGATAGCAAAAATACAATAAAAATGGTGAATATCCTGACCATATGATGCATGTCTTCCACTTATAATTCGTCTAGGAGAGTATCTACGCGGTGGAGAATATCTCTTATCAAGCTTTTCTCTCAGGTCATGACCACGACGGTCTCTCCTACCTGAAATGAGGATGAAAAAGTATGTTCCAGATCTCCAGACACATAGGCATAGCAACTACATGATATTTGTAAAGTAAAAGGCCAACTATCATGGAATGAGTGAACTCAGCTATAAACAAAGCTTACCGTTATACTGAATTATATGAGATACATAATAATGAAATTATAGTGCCTTCCTTGAAGTTGGAAATACCAAAGATGCTGTAGAAATTATGCTCTCAAGTAATATATAGACATAGTTGATCCAGTTTTTTAGAATTTCTCCTTTCAAAGAACCCGTGAAGTAGTAACTGATAAAATACGGTAGAGTTAATTCTGCTGTTGATGAATGAGAAATTGTCGTTATTCTGTAGCTCTCTTCTTGCATCCACTATAAAGAGAACATGTAATCCCAGATAGATTATTGACCTCCTTGGACTAAAAGATCCATTGAAGAGATTCCAATTGCCACATCATGTATTACTCAGAGATAAGTCAAAGTGAAACCTCAAATTCTAGATGAACGAGCAAGTTGAGGATTTTTCTAAGATAGATCATTCGAATGGTACATCGAGCTGGCAATTGAGATATACATGCAAGAGATTATGTCCAGAGAAACCTAATTCTTCCCTTGCATCCACTGCATCTCTGAGATGCATAATAAACCACTGAATCCAATAAACATACAAGTAACATTTTGATAAACCAAGCAGCAAAATCCTCTTCCAATAAAAGTACTAAGCATCAGTAATTCTTCAGTTACTGATGCCCCATACAAAGCCTCAACTTACTATGGAGACCTGAAATACTTACAATCCAAACTCAATATATTCCCATATTCAATTATAAGTAAATATGATTGTAGTCCATAAGTATCGCATCATACATCTGACTCAATTTCTTTAACTATTCTATTAGAGGGATTGTGGAAAATTTGAAACATACACATAAAAGGACATAGAATCTGACAAGAACAACCATTTATAATATTATACAGCATCTTTTTTGTTATTTGGTGAGGATCATAGGTTTTTTATTGAGATTAGTTATCAACATTAGCATTAACTGTATATTTACAAATAAATCCTCTATAGTGTACTCCCTCTGTCCCAATTTTATTATCCCCTATGGGTTTTTAGGTGAGCCACCTTTTTATTTTATTTTCCAAACATTGAACCTCTGTCCCAATGTTATTATCCTCTTAGGTTTTTAGGAGAGCTGATGTTTTATTTAATTTTCCTCTCATTTCGTTGATGGAATTTAATGACAAATGGTTGAGTGTTAGTAGAGCAAGGATAAAATAGTATATTTGGTATCAACATTAGATCCCTTCTAGGAATGAAACACTATAAATGGGGCAGATAAGAAAGGAAATTGGGACGCCAGTAATGCTGTGTATGGACGATGGAGTAATCAGATGCCAAATTAGTGCACAACTTTGCATCCACAAGGAAGGTCACAAGACACAAAAGTCAATAGTAAATTAATCAGAAGGCGGCGTACTGGAACCAAAACAGGAGAAATAAATTCTTATATAAAAAATACTGACCAAATTAAGTGGCTATGAAACACTGCACAATGTTTACAAATCCCTACTTTGCAGATTTACCCATAGTTTAACATTTTGGCTTTTACTTGGAAACAGAGAAACTAATGAAAATGACTGCAAAACTGGACATTTCAGTAAATGAAGAAGCTTATAGTAAAAGAAATTGAAGATCATCTCATAACATTTCAGTATCCAAACCAAATTGGTAGAGTAGTGCTTAGCAAGCAAGTGCTCAAGTATCACCACGACGTGAAATGGATAATCTCAGAAGACGTGAGCTTTGCTCGACACTTTCGTTCTCTTTTCAATAGCTATATAAATGGCAAATTTTCAACACTCGACGATTAAAACGCAAAAAAAGTAAACTAGCATATTATTATAACAAAAGTTACCATCGAAGGAACCGGAGAATCGGCGTCGCTCTGCGTCACCGTGAGCAAAGTTGCAGCTCTGGCGGTGGCAATGGCCCTTCTGATAGAGCACGCATAGCTTCGTTTTGTACACCATTCTTTCGACCATGCGGGGTGTATCGATGAATACGGCTAAAATTGAAATGAGCTTACCGGGGCGTTGAGTGGTGGGATGAAAAGAGAATGTATTGTACTGTAACTTTAGCAATTGTTCATTAATTCATTGTGCCCTAAACCCTAGTCTCGACGTCATTTTGTTTCATCCTATTTTACCAAGACAATTTTAGTTATTTTCATGTAATTTTTCTTTATTTTATCAATAAAATGTATTAGCCACTTTAGCCACATAATTCAACAAATTCAACCAATTTAGCCACTTTTTCTAGAAATTCGTTTTTTAGTAGATTCAACCGATTCTGTCGATTTCAATGTTATTAAATGGACTCTAAACTGACACAATAACTATTAAAAAAACAGTGTACAGTTTTTTTCAAATGTAAAATTGAAACCTATCTTCCCCACTCTACACAATCTCAAGGTTCTATTCTAATAAGACATAAAAAAGATCATTTATTCTAATAAGACATAAAAAAAGATCACTAGCATTTCTTATTATGTGAGAGTTTTGAAGATTGATTCAGCCATAGAAATCTTAGGGGTGTATTGTACCTAGAATTAGTGGTAGAATTTTAGAACTCTGTGGAATTTCAAAATATGGGTGTTGAATATTGATTTTTAATAGTCAATAAAAGTCTGGGTATATTCAATTAGGATTTTAAGGAAAAACTTGGTCATGAAATAGCTTATAACCACTACCAAAGCAGAAGGCAAATCCAATGAATGGAGAATGAATCTTGCTACTCAAATGTGGGCAGTTGCAGAAAATGAATAATTTTGATCCATAGTTCAATAGCACAAGACATTTGTTTCAATTTTGTGCATTAATGACATTTTTTTATTATGTTGTTTAATGCTTATACTTGAATATTTTATTTGTCATATTTTTTAGAGAACATTGGCTATTATATTGGCAAAATCATTTGCCAACAACTTAATATCAGCAACTACAGAACCAATCAGAGACCGATCAGGTGTAGCTGATTCGATGCGTTAAATCATAGATAGAGACAATCAGACGCCACAACGATGTTCTGGTAACCGTCCTCCCGGGTGAGAGCCAGCGCACGCCTAATGGACAATGCTTCATCAAGTTCTGGTGTAGTGACATCCTCAATCATGCAAGCAAACAAACAATGACCCTTCTCGTCACGAATCATCACACCCGCTCCCATTCTGCGAGAATTCAGAAATAATGCAGCATCCACGTTGACACACCCCAAACCAGCCGACGGTGGAACCCATATAGGAGCTGAAGAGAGGGAATCACACCTTGAGGCCTTTATCGACTTAAAGCAATGTTGCATCATCATCTCCGCACAGGATTTTACTTTCTCAGCCACCCTTTTAGGATGCATCGAACCTTTGTTATTTCGTGCATCATTTTGAGCTTCTCAGATGCCAAAATGTAATAGCAGGAGCAGTGGTGTTAAAAGCAGATTCCTTAGCCACAAAATCAAATAGCCATTGTCGAGCATTACTCAAAACTTTTCTGCACAACCTGAGGGGAAAGAGTCCCTTAACTGATGACCAAACTGAATTTGCAAAGGGACACATAAGAAAAGAATGTTCCACACGCTCAACTATGTTGCAAAAGATGCAAATATCAACTAGAATAAGAATATGACGCTTCAGTGGTTGAATCTTGTGGGTAAGCAATCATGTGCAGACCGCCATAAGAGAATCTTCATTTTGTTTGGGGCTTGAGTCTTCCACAATGCTTTCCAGCATTGATCCTCAGCCATAACATTTGACGGTAAGCCACAACCATTTTCACTTCTGGCAGCCAAGAAAGAATTAGATCGGGCTAAAAAGTAGGCTGATTTAACCGTACACGTGGCCCGTTTATCATGAGGCCAAGATACAAAATCATCTTTATTGTGGTGACTAATGGGGAGCTGCAAAATTTGATTTGCAATTTCCCCATCAAAGAAACTCCCAACCATATCCGCATCCCACTCTGTGTGCCTCATTCATCAAGAATTGAATTGCAGTAGCATTAATAGGGATCGGAATCAGTGAACGAAATGTATCTGCATTGTGGCTCGGGATCCAATTGTCACTGAGGGTCTTGATTGTAGCTGTATTGCCAACCCTCCATTTGAGGCCTTTCAAGACTAATTCTCTTCCAAAGAGAAAGTTGCGCCAAGTGAAGGAGGATGCCCGAGGTTTAGGAGTCGACAAAAAAATTTTGTGTCAGGAAAATAACGCCCTTTAAGGACCCTTTCGCACAAAGAAATTGGGTTTGTTAGCATGCGCCAACAGTGTGGGCCCAACATTGCTTGATTAAAGAGAACAAGATCCCGGAAACCCATGCCGCCAAGGGATTTGGGTGAAGACAGCGTACACAAAAGCACACATCAGTGTAATGCCAAAAATCTTAAATTTATTACACACACTACTGAAATGGCTACCAAGTGCTAAAACATAAACAAATAAATGGATATTGATTGTTATTAAACCAACAATGAACACCCAAACGCTCTTAAATAGCCAGCGCTCAAACACTCTTCGTAATACAAAACTCCCATTCACACTTACCTGACTGTAGTTATTCGGACTGCTCAAATGGATATTGGTTGTGGTTCACTCGTCAATGGCGTCCAGTAACTCAATGGCGTCCAGCAAACCCTTCAACGATAAGGTCAACGGCGCCTTCATTCGCGGGATTTCAACATTAGGGTTACAGAAATATTGAACGTTAAGGAGGAGGTTAAAGTATGTAAGCAAATAATCCACATGTATATACTCTGCCAGCTAAAAAAAAACCATGTCAACGCCAAGTAAGCATTTCACAGGCTAACCGGTTGGTGACCTCCAAAAAAGGCTAATTGGTCGGTTTTTGTGACTTCGTGGGCTTTAATGATCAATGTTGGAGTAGAAGGGCTTAATTGACTATCCGTACAGAGTAGGTGGACCTATTTGTCAGTTTTCCCTTTTAAGTACTTTAAAGCTAAAAGTTCAAAGCTGGGTGGAGGGTGCTTTTAATAGCTTGTTGGTATTTTTGTCAATAATTTAAAGTTTAGGGATAGTTATTAGGTTGAATATTTTGATTAAACCCAAACTACCCTCCCCTTATTCCTGCCTCTCCCGGTCCCGTCACCTTCTTCCTTCCACTTTTTCCTTCTTCTATCACTCCCCATCCCATCTTCATCTGCTGCTAGCGTTTAGGCTTTCTCCATTCCATCTTGCTGCTTCTCCACTTTCTTTGGATAAATTAATTTGATGTGGGCAAACAGGTCACACTTACAACTTGATCGTTCATCAGCCCAATAACACTCACTCCATCCCTTCCATTTTACAAACCTGCCGGATGATCCATAAATTGAGTATGTATGCTTCTGTATGCTTCTGTGTCGCCAATTTGAGCACATGGGATGCGTCCCAATTTCATTTGTGCAGGGGACAATTTTGTACTTTAACAAAATATTCCATAAAAAAATCATTTTTTTACCAAACACTCTAACTTTTACATTCTAATTAAAATCACTTCTATTCTCAAACACTATCAACTTTTACTACAAATCACTTTTCCAATAATCTCTTAAAAAAACTTTTTTAAAAAGCACAAGTAATCACAAACACTCTCTTAATATGAGTCCCAACTTTTTTCATTTTGAAAGGAGGCTAATCTAATTATGAAATAAAATCATGATCAGTTTTTTATCATTTCAAATGATAAACAACTAATTATTTCAAATACTATCTCAATGTGTAACCTTGAAGTAGAAAAGTAGATACCAACAGCTTATGTATCAACTCTAGCATCAAAATATAGAAACAAACAGCTTATATACCAACTCTAGTTTGAAATAATTTGATCCGATAAATGTCTGATCTTTGTATAAATCTTTGTGTATTTTATAATTATGGAAGTCTGATAAGGTATAATTTGTATGTTTGAGTGAGACTTGGTTTGATCAAGGCTATGTTTGGCTGACATAAGTCTATGACTTTTGTCTTTTGTATTATTTAAAAAGTCTCTAAAAATTGTTAGTTATTTGTTTGGCACACCAATTTTTAAGAGCTTTTCAAAAAATAAAAGCTCTTTTTTGAGATGCTACAGGTAGTAGCATCTGAGAAAAGTCTGTGACTTTTAGCTTTAATAAATCCTAACAGCTTGTATGCCAAACAGAACTAAATCAAACAGTCAGCTTTTTACCAAACAGCTATCACCTTTTACTTTTAAGATCTTTTCAGTAATTAAAAGCTAACAGTTACTAAAAAGCTCACGAAAAGATCTTTTCACCTAATTGTACCAAAAAACATTCTAATTTGCCACTCTTCCTTCAGATCTCTTGTTTTTGTTTATCTCCTCTCTACGCTGTTTCGGACCTTGTGCAGGCACAACGGGTTCTGCTCCCATGGCGTCTTCTCGCATCGATGATTTTGTTCATGTTGATGTAGTTGGAGCGCTGGCTGATTCCAACATCCAGTCTCAAGGTTCGGAGGGGAGCGTTGTGGCAGATAACGCAGCCAATGACGCGGTTAGTGGAGAGGGTGAGCCCCGAGGCTATGTCAGGAAGGCACTGCCTGATAAGCTGATGAAGAGCGTTGTGATGCTCAGTTGCGAGTCGTACGCGGAAGGCGGCATCTGCGATGTGTATCTGCTAGGAACAGCTCACGTGTCTGCGGTATATCTAGTTCGCATTCCTATTTTTTAAAGTTTATTTATTTGCTGCTGAGAGAGATTGATGTGGTTTCTTATGTCCAGAACTGATACCGAAATTTAGGTGCATACCAAATACTGAGCCAAAACTTTGATTCAGTAATCTGTATGGACAATTTTGAAAAACCGGTGTTCAGTTCGGTATATATATACACACTTTGGTTTTCGGTATTTACCGAATACCGAAATATATAAAATAATATATACTGGAGTATTAAATATATTATTAGTTATATTATGGCCCAATCTGAATACCGGGCTATACGTTTTTATAATTAAAATTTATATATTTTCTTTAGGCAATAGGCCCAATCCGAATATGTGGATGGTGTATTGTGCATTTCCTTAGTATGTGGGTTGGATTTGTAATTTGTATATTATGACTCATTTGGGAAGTGTTATGAGACTTCCAATTGTTGTTATTATTGAATTTGTATGTTTAGACCCATGCGTGTTCTTATTTTTTGGGTTTGTATACTTTGTGAAATGGTTAATATCGTCTTGGTTAATACATATTTGGTATTTCGGTTTTACTGAATACCAAACCTAACTTTTTTAGGTTTTAACCGAACCAAACTGATTTATTGCGGTTCGGTATTCGGCACAGGAATAAGAAGAACCGAATTTTCAGTTTACCAAAATATCGGTTCGGCTCTATGATACTGAATGAACACCCCTAAGTTTGAGAATAAACATTGCTTACCTGTATGTATATCCGTATACTAGCTTTGATACCAGTGGCATCAGTTTTTGTTTGAGTGGTTTCGTGATATTTCTGGAGTCTGGACAGTGGCCTAAATTGAACAAATTTTGAGGAGGTGTGTTTGATAGACATGTGTGTGTCTGTAAATGTAGTTCAAATAAAAAAGTCATTGAATGAAATGATTTTGATTGAGATGTAGTGGATTTCAAAGTGCCAACCATATATCAAGTTGGATAAAAAATGCATTGAAATTATTGTACATAACTAAACTTCTGCATCATTGCAAAAAATATAGAACATGAACGTTATAGTGCACGAAAGTACACACTACACATATTCACATTTGTCACGGGAAACACTTTTATCAGTATAATAGTTTCCTTATTGTGTGTACACATAGTTTTTTTTTATTCTTAGTTTGTTGGTTATTTCACTTTTTGAGTCGTGTGTGATATTATTTTGAATGTATTGTACATGTCTTGTGATTTTGAGTGAAAATAGACACAATGGTTATTTAAGATCAAATTAAGTTTCAATAAATTTTGGAAACATCCTCAAAGTTGTCAACATTAATTGTTACAATTTTAGATAGATAGGCACATATAGTTTAAGATGGAATAAAGCAAAATGGCTGACTAAACTGTGTGCGCTTCTTTGTAATGAAGTAACAGTTAGTTTGCAATTTCGACGCAATTTTCACTATGGGTAATTTGGAAACAGTCTCTCAGTGCTTTAGTACAGGGGTAAGTCTGCATACATCCGACCCCCCCTTACCCCACCGTAGGTGAGAGCCTTTGCGACACTTGGATAATGATGATAAAAATGTAGTAATGAAGTAACAATCAGTCTATGCAATTTTTGACGCGACTTTCCTGGCATGTGGCATCTTACTAATCGTGCCTCTTTTTGCTAGAACCTAAAATTATATACATGATAACACCGAACCAGAGAAAATCAAAGAAGTTTTCATCTTCTTTAAGAAAATGGTGTTGGAGGCAGAGGGCAGTAGCTCGGCCCCTCCCTTGGGTCATCCGGTGATTTTTTGACAATAAATTTATTTGCTCTGGTATAATATTAATGTAAAAATGTTGCATTTTTTGGCAGCTATATTAGATAGTCATGCAAAGTTTTTTCTAATTTATTTGTTGACGAAAATTCCGCTTGATATAGTCTTTACAAAGTATTTGGATTAATGCATTAGGCAATGAAAAAACACTATTAGCCTTTATTCTAGGCTCACATGTGTCTTTGTCATAAAGTTAATCTTTTGTCTGTTTGTTTTGTCATAAACTCTTTGTAGTCTCTGATTTGATCAAATTTTAATGATATACAATCTGTTCTGGAAGAGGTGTTTGGGACATATATCATTTTGGTAAGTGTAATCTACATTGAAGTTCTTGTATGTATGTAGGAATCTTGCCAACAAGTCCAAGCCGTGATCAATTTCTTAAAGCCACAGGTATTATATATGATAGTTTGGCACCAAAACATACAATCATAGTTTCATTTGTTCATCCATCTGAAGGTAAGGTTGCCATCTATAGTACTGTATTTTACCCTTAATAATTTTTTTCTGAGTAAAACTGCTACGGATGATTGATTGCAGGCTGTCTTTTTGGAGTTATGTTCAAGTCGTGTTGCAATACTAACACCTCGAAATTTAAAGGTTTGTCCTCCCATCTCCTTGTTTGTACTTTGCTGCTTTACATTTTTATCATGCGATCATAGTTATCACAATGTCGCCTAGGCGCGCCAACTAGGTGTCCCAACGATGGATGAGCTCCACCATACTTTGATGTCTTGCCTGAAGTCTCTCAGGCGACCTGTGGCTTAAGCTATATATAATTTAACATTTGATATATAATTTTATTAAGCTGTCTGCACTTCTTTGTTATGAAGCAGCAGTCAGTCCATGCAATTTTCGACGCGATTTTCACTATGGGTCATCCAGAAACAGTCTCTCCCTGCTTTAGTACAGGGGTAAGACTGCGTACATCCGACCCCCCTTACCCCACCATAGGTGGGAACCTTTGCGGCAATGGGGTAATGATGATGAATGATGATATATATAATTTTATTATGCTTAAGTATTATATATGATACTAGTATAGTACCCGTGCGATGCACGGGATAATAAATTTATAATATTGCAACTATTGATGCTCTAATAAATTTCAAGAATTTGATTTATTTACATTTAAATAAATTACGAATTAATAGATGATGAAAAATAATGCTAAAAGACATTTGTGTATTGTACATTTGTACTACACGTCTACACTATAAATTTGAAAAATAAATTAATGGTTTAAATTCATAGATTGTATTATTACTGAATGTAAATATTAGGGGGAATCAAGTGCACTCGGTTAGCTACATTTCAAGTTTATAACTTAGAAAGTGTTTGAATTCACTTCTACTATATAGAAGTTATTAATTTTAAAGATTACACGAAAAGTGATTAGTAATAAAATTTGAAGTGTTTAAAATGAAAAATTTAACTTTAAACTTTTAGAAATGACTTAATTTTTAACCTCCTCAGCTTATTTAATTACATTATTCACATAGAATAAAAATAGAAAAGAATTCAAATTTACAATCAAGATGAATGTAGTGGACAAAAATGCGACTCTAATAACTTTATTATTTCATCCGCCTCGCTAAAACCTCGGTCTTTTATCTTTGAAATCTTAGCCTCTAGACTGATAGAAGTGACTTAATTTTTAATCTCCCCATCTTATTTAATTACATTATTCACATAGACTAAAAATCGAAAACAATTCAAATATATTACTTGAGTACATCATCCGCCCCGTTAAGATTGTCTCATACAAAATTTGATAAAATTCGTGTTGTTTTAAATCATTCTTACTTTAAATCTCATACCAATTCAATATCAACCACATAAAACCACTTTTCTTATAATCGCAACTCTCCTCCATGTCCCTGTGTTAGTCGGACGGAATTAGTACTCTCTCCGTCCTGGAAAGGTTTGACAAATTAACTTTTATTGATCAATGTTAGCAAATTTTGCACAACCATTATTTTTAACACAGAACTATTTTGAATATGAAAATTATATTAAAACGTTTCTTATTAAATATATTTTCATAAAAGCATAAAAATGTTAATTACATATATAATAATTAAAATAATTGTTGAAAGTTTGTCATCACTGATCAAGGAAAATCAATATGGACGATTCTTTTTCGTGATAGAGGTGTAATATTATAGGAAAAACTCATAAAATATTCACTTTTTTAAATAATAACAATAAACAAATTACTTGCGGCTTATCCCCACCAAATGTTGGGCACTCTCCGGCCAGGCATTAGCGATTATCAAAGTTATTTGAATTACGAAGTACGTAGTATATTCTATTATGGATCAAAATCCGATCATGGATAATTAATGCTTCAATGGGACTTTCAAGAAAAAATATCAACAACATTTAGTAGCATTTATTACTCTAATACTCTCAAGTTGTGCAACCATTATAAAAACAATACTCCCTCCGTCCCGCTATGATTGTCCCATTTTACTTTTTTGGTTCGTCCCACTAAGATTGTCTCATACCTTATTTGGTAAAATTTGTGTGGTTTCAAATGATTCTTACTTTATTCTTACTTTATCAATTCAATATCAACCACATAACCCACTTTTATTAATAATCGTGTTACCTTCTCTTGTCCCAAACTTAGGGGGATAGATGTAGTATTATAAAAACAATATTGTTTCCAAAATGCCACAGGATTCCCGCTCAATTACTCTAATGTTCTCAAATCGTGTAACCTAATGGTGGGATCTTACACCGTACACATGATTTAACGATCTGAGAGTATAATTTGCCATCAACGACAACCTTCCAATTAATAGCCCTTCCTTCATGTATTTCATTGATGTGATTGATATCTAGTAATCTTGACTTTTTTACAGATAAATTTTCAGAAAATTCCTTTTGTACATTCCAAGTTTTACACGTCGGGTTACACGCCGATCAAATTATTTGTATACAGACAATTTGACAGGCGTTTTATAAAGAAAACTAATTTTCACACAGACAAAAAAAATCTGTGTCACACTTTATGAAAAATTTTGTTCTAAAATGTATATGATACAAACAACACTTTACTTTTTGTCTGTGTGGAAATCGATTTTCTTTATAAAACACCGATCAAATTATCAAAATTGTGATTAAACTGATTTTTTAATCAGTAACGTCTTTGGATCCATCGACATTTATCATCTCCACATTAAGCTGTCTGCGCTTCTTTGTTATGAAGCAGCAGTCAGCCCATGCAATTTTGGATGCGATTTTCACTATGGTCTATGGGTCATCCAGAAATAGTCTCTCCCTGCTTTAGTACAGGGGTAAGACTGCGTACATCCGACCCCCCTTACCCCACCATAGGTGGGAATCTTTGCGGCACTGGGGTAATGATGATGAATGATGATAGATATAATTTTATTATGCTTAAGTATGATATATGAAATATGATACGACTTGTCACCTAGGCGATAAGGCAGTCCGCTGGCACCGTGATCTGACTAGCTGCCGTGATAACCCAAGGTTGTTAAAATCGTATTTTTGGATAGAATCGGAACAAGGATTTAAAAATCGGATCGTAAATTGTAAAATTTTACAAAATAAGTATATAAAATTATTAAAAATATTAAATAAAAGGATTAAAGGAAATTCAAAATATAACATTATTAATTGAAACCATTATAATTTTAAGTTATACAATGATGTCTTAATTAGAGTGCACAAAATAATTAATAACAAAATAATGTTACCAAACAAAACAATGTTAATAAAACAAAGTAATGTTATATATACTCAAAGAACAAAATTTTCACGAAAATAATAATGATGTTCTAATCAAGTGTCACAATAAATACTACGTATATGTTTGTCAAGACTATATAAGTGTAATTATGTTTGTTTTGAAGAGCATTGAATAAGTATGGCAATAGTTTTTTTCAAATAAAAGCATGACAATAGTTACATTAGAGCATAAAGTTGCTTATGGTGGATTGGTTAAGCAATGAGTACACCCTTATTCAAGAGAGTTGGAGGTGGGTTCGAAACCCGTCGTTGACTGGTTTTGATTTTTCCATAAAAGCTTCTTTATTCTTCTAAAATCAATGTTCCCCACACCGGAAGAGCATAGCGAATTCCCCCCTCCCTCATCTATATATAGCGAATCTGAGAATATCCAAGCAAGAACGTAGGATAGCACATTAAGTTGCCTGACCGGCCAGAGATACTCGGCTGGGTTTGGTGCGAGCGAAGTCAAATTTTAAAATCGGGGAAATCGTATGCAATCGTGAATTTTAACGATTTCAGCGATTTCAATACGAATTTTTTACGATTTTGTGAACGATTCAAATCGGTTTGGTGCTTTTGGATCGTAAAATCGTATGATTCTACGATTTGAATCACGATTCTAACAACCTTAGTGATAACCTTGCATGAGATTACGAATGCAACTTGTACTAGATACAAAAGTTAATATGGATCATTTGTCATTATTAATTTTTAAATATTTGTGTGGTTATTTTCTTACTTTTAAAATTTTGTCATGTAACTGCTGTGTCATTTTTTGAGAAGGCACAATAGTGAAGCTTTGAGATCCATCATCTGCTTTTGCTTGTTTTACCTTTCTACAACTCTCATACGGTTAATTCTGTCTTTCGCCCATCATTTAGAACAGAAATATTAGACCACTTCTTTTCTGTATATAATAACAACAACGTATCCTAAGATTCATTCCCAGATGGACAACCTTTTCTGTGTATAATTGATGTTATTTGCTTGTGTATTACTAGAGAAAAGGGTCAAATGAGACCTTCTACTATTATGAAACCGTCGCATAAGATCATGTACTCAATAAAGTGTCATATAAATACGTCTACTTATAAATAGCAATCATATGAGTCCTAATGACCTGTTGGCAACCTCATAATCCCGGTTTTAGCTTATGTTTGGCTATCTTTTAAAAATATATCATAAAGTTCACATTAAATATTTGGCCAGGATTGGCTTAAATACAAGACAAAAATAATGACACGTAAGCTAAAATCCGGATTATGAGGTTGTCAACGGTCATTTTGAGTCATCCGATTGATTTTTAAAAGTAGATGTATTTAAATGACACTTTATTGAGTGCATGACCTTATGTGACGATTCCGTAATAGTAGAAGGCCTTATTTGATCCTTTTTCCGTATTAGTATTGAAGTTTATGTTTCCTCATTATAATGAGGCCCTGTTTTGTATATCTTGTTGTCCATTTCCTTCAGTTGTTACCTTTGGATGAGCATGCACTGATAGATGTTTCACTTTCTTTTTTCCAGATACCAACAATGGGGGAAATGGTGGATATGTGGAAGAAACAATATAACTTGTTTGCAATACTATACAGCTGGTTTCTTGCAAAGGCATGATGACAGCCCCAGTTTCTGTCTAGTTTCCACATTGTGTTGCTAATAACTTTTGGTACCGTAGTCATTCTCATAAAACTACTTGCTATATACTGGTAGGTTGCCAGTAAGCTTGATGCTTTACCCGGGGACGAGTTTCGTGTTGCATATGAAGAAGCAATGAAGTATGGTGGCAAGGTGATTCTTGGAGACCGCCCTGTCGAGGTTAGATATAATATATTCATTTAGCTAACTAATGTGTTTTAAGAAGTAATTTATGTAAGTTAGGGATTTTAGCACGCGGTCATCATGCGCGTACCAAATATAATTCAAGACTTGAATACTAATACTGTAGTATAGTGAACTAGAGTTCGTATCCACCGAGAGTGGTACTTTTCTTGTATGCACTTGTAATAAAAAGGGGGTTTGAGGTTTATGTGTACTTGAAAATATTAAAACACCAAGATGAATGAATTAAGAGAGTAAATAAATCAATTGAAATTGAGACTTGGTTTTGCTAATTTCCACTTAATGAAAAGCCAGTTGATCACGGTAATCTAGGGATTGCAACGGGGCGGATCGGGGCGGGTATACTCTTACCCGTAATTGCCGTGTTAGTTAATTTATTATTCCCGAACCCGTCTCATTCCCAGTTGGATAATTTTTTACCCAAATTGTACCCGATTGGAATGGGGAACGGGTTTCCCCACGGGTAATTGCATATTTGCATTATTAAAAGACAATTTTGTTTTTCCAAAATAGTATCACCAACAGACAATTCAGCTTGGGATAACCTATGCCCTCCTTTCATGTTCTTGTTGAATCCAGATGATCTTTCTGTTTTATCGTCTGAGGCCTCCTTCTCCGGTATTGGAGTTTTATTTTGTGTGAAAGACATTAGAATATACTTTAGAATATACTTTAGAATATTCTTCTATCCTTAGAATATACTTTAGAATATTTTAGGAATATACTCTAGGATATTATTATTGTATAGAATCTTATAGGAATATTCTATCTTTGTAATGTATATTTATAGGGACTTAACCCTCCAATGAAATACACAGAAAATCTTTCCTCCTCTCTTCAATATTATATTTTGTAGTTTATATTTCAACATGGTATCAGAGCCTTCCATTTCAGTTTAGTTTTTCAGATTTCAGTTCTTTATTCAGGCTGATTTCAGTTCAGTATTCAGGCTGGGTTCTTTCTCCAAGAACTTGAGTTAACTTCAGAACCTTACACACCATTTTCAGAACCTTACACACCATTCTGCCTACAGAACCTCTACACACCATTAAACAGAACCTCTGTCCAGACCAACACCGTCCTATTTCTCACCTCCGTCCTAACCAATTGCACTTGCCGCCGCCGACCACGTCTTTGGAGTCCGCACCGGCAAAGCTTCGCGCGTCAGTCACACGCGCCGCCGAAGACTTTCGCGGCTGCCGCACGCGCCGGCGAGTGAAGCTTCATAGCTAACCGGATTTCTAATCGGAAATCGCCATCTCTGCCAGGTAAATCCATTTTTCCGATCTGCGAGCTTTTGGATCCACGGTCTTCTTGAGGTTGGCGACGCAGATACTTTTGGAAGGGGGCTGCGTATATATTTTGTCTATTTATTCGTACCAGACTGTTGAGAAAGGTTGGGATTTGAGACTAGGTGAGCTGGCTCGAATTAGAAACGGGCTGCGTTATATTTTTGGAGTCGCCACTATCATTAGCTGGTAAGTCAGAAACCCAGACCTCGCCAACCATCTATTGAGCTGCGGCTGGTAAGTCTTAATTAGCTGTATTTATTTATTTATTCTCAAAAAAAAAAGTAAAAAAAAAAAATCAAAAAAAAAAAATCAAAAAAAAAAAATTAAAAAAAAAAATGTCTTTTACGGGTCCATTTGGCAGAGGAGTAATATGCCATTACTGCAAGAAGCCCGGGCACTTGCTCAAAGAATGTAGAAAGTTGCTGTTCAAAAATCAAGGAAATCAGCTTGCTCATGTTGCTTCCGCTACAAGTTCATTTGATGGATCAATTGCTATTTCTTCAGACGAGTATGCTAAATTTATTTGCTACCAAGAATCTCTAAAGCATTCATCTACCCCTATCTCGGTAGTCGCAAATTCAGGTATTTCAAACACATGTCTTGTTTCATCATCCTCAAAATGGGTCATTGACTCAGGTGCCACAGATCATATGACTGGTAATCCTAGTCTATTCTCATCATTTCACTCACATTTACCTGCTTCCAGTGTCACTTTAGCAGACGGGTCTACCTCACCCGTTCTTGGATCTGGTACTGTTGTACCAACTTCTACATTACCATTATCGTCTGTTTTGAGTCTTCCTAATTTTGCATTTAATCTGCTTTCCATCAGTAAAATCACACGTACTCTTAATTGTTCTGTAACATTTTTTCCGGGATATTGTGTGTTTCAGGATCTGTTAACGAAGCATATTATTGGTCAAGGACATGAGTCGGGTGGTCTTTATATTTTGGATACATCAATTACAAAAGGTATCTCTTGCCTTGGGGTTGGAAATCTATTAGAAGCTCATTACCGATTAGGACATCCATCTCTCTCACTAATGAAGCAATTATATCCTCAGTTTAATAAGGTGTCTTCTATACAATGTGAGTCGTGTGAGTTTGCTAAACATCATCGCACTAGTTTAAGTCCCCGACTTAATAAACGAGCAAATGCTCCGTTTGATCTTGTCCATACTGATGTTTGGGGGGCATGTCCAGTTGTGTCCAAACCTGGTTTCAAATATTTTGTCACTTTTGTTGACGATTATTCTCGTATGACATGGGTTTATTTTATGAAGCGCCGATCCGAGTTATTTACTCATTTCTCTGCATTTTGTGCTGAAATTAAAACTCAATTTAATGTTCTTGTTCGTGTGTTAAGGGGAGACAATGCCCAAGAATATTTATCTGCTCCATTTAAATCTTTTATGCTTCAACATGGCATTATTCATCAAACTTCATGCGTAGACACACCTCCTCAAAATGGAGTTGCTGAAAGAAAGAATCGACATCTGTTAGAAACTGCAAGGGCTCTTCTATTCCAAATGAATGTGCCTAAACAGTTTTGGGCTGACGCTGTGTCTACTTCATGTTTTTTGATCAATCGTATGCCATCTTCTGTTTTGGATGGTAAAACTCCTTATCAATGTCTTTTTCCAAATAAAGAGCTTTTTCCTATTCCACCTAAAATATTTGGTTGCACTTGTTTTGTTAGAGATGTTAACCCTCATCGGACGAAATTGGACCCCAAGTCATTGAAATGTATTTTCTTGGGTTATTCTCGAGTTCAAAAGGGGTATAGATGTTTTTGTCCAAGTACAGGTCGATATCTTATTTCTATTGATGTCTCATTTCATGAAAATACACCATTTTCATCATCCAAGACAGATATTCATGAGGACAACGATGAAATACTCATTTACACAGTTACTATACCTGAGACCACACCTTCAGTAACTATGTCGAATGTCACTGTTCCTGACCCTAGACCTCCTGTACACTTGGTTTACACCCGTCGACACAAAGCACAAGATCACTCCCCACCTGTGACACCTGTGATTACATATCCTGATACTGGTCCGACTTCGATCTCATGTCCTGAACCAGTACCTGCATCTTCAGATCTTGTCTCTACATCTGATCTTGACCTCCCGATAGCACTACGTAAAGGTACACGGTCTTGTAGTCATCCTATTTCCTCATTTGTGTCATACAGTCAGTTATCTCCTGCCTCATGTTCTTTTGTTGCTTCCATTGATTCTATTTCTGTTCCCAAATCTGTTAAAGACGCTTTGTCTCATCCTGAATGGCGTCATGCCATGGTAGAGGAAATGAATGCTTTGGATCTTAATGGTACTTGGGATTTGGTATACTTGCCTTCAGGGAAGAAGTCTATTGGATGTAAGTGGGTCTTTGCTGTTAAGGTTAATCCAGATGGATCTGTTGCTCGATTGAAAGCTCGATTGGTTGCAAAGGGTTATGCTCAAACCTATGGTGTTGATTATTCTGACACTTTTTCTCCTGTTGCTAAATTAACATCTGTCAGGTTACTTATCTCACTTGCTGCAACTCATGATTGGCACTTACACCAGTTGGACATTAAAAATGCATTCTTACATGGTGACCTTCAGGAGGAAGTTTATATGGAGCAACCTCCGGGATTTGTTGCTCAGGGGGAGTATGGGAAAGTTTGTCGACTTCGCAAATCTCTTTATGGTCTGAAACAGAGTCCTCGTGCATGGTTTGGGAAATTCAGTCAATCCATTGAACGGTTTGGAATGATAAAAGGTCAATCAGATCACTCTGTCTTTTACAGAAAAACAAAAGCAGGTATCACATTGCTTGTGGTGTATGTCGATGATATTGTGATTACAGGAAGTGATACCGCAGGTATTTTGGCCCTTAAGAATTTTCTTCATAGCCAATTCCAAACAAAAGACCTAGGCTCATTGAAATACTTTCTGGGTATTGAGGTAACACGGAGTAAGAAAGGCATATTTCTATCTCAGCGTAAATATGTACTTGATTTACTAACTGAAACAGGGAAATTGGGAGCAAAGTCAAACACAACTCCCATGGTTCCCAATGTGCAACTCACTTCAGAAGGCATACCATTCGAAGACCCAGAAAGGTACAGAAGATTGGTTGGAAAGCTTAACTATCTCGCAGTCACTCGTCCAGACATTGCTTACTCTGTGAGCGTAGTGAGTCAATATATGTCATCTCCGACAGTTAATCACTGGAATGCAGTAGAGCATATATTATGTTACTTGAAGGGGACACCAGGACGAGGTATTGTTTACCAAAATCATGATCACATGAGAATAGAATGCTTTGCAGATGCTGATTGGGCTGGATCTAAAGATGATAGGAGATCCACATCTGGCTATTGCGTCTTTGTTGGTGGTAATCTCGTCTCTTGGAAAAGTAAGAAGCAAAATGTGGTTTCTCGTTCGAGTGCTGAATCAGAATATCGGGCTATGGCACAATCGGCATGTGAGATAATCTGGATAAACCATTTGCTGAGTGAAATCGGATTGAAGACACCAATGCCTGCTAAACTCTGGTGTGATAACCAAGCTGCTATACACATTGCCAACAACCCAGTGTTTCATGAGAGAACAAAACATATTGAGGTCGATTGTCACTTTGTTCGAGAAAAGATACAACAAGGATTGATCTCTACAGGATATGTGAAGACTGGAGAGCAACTTGGAGATTTGTTCACTAAAGCATTAAATGGAATTCGTGTTGGTTATTTATGTAACAAGTTGGGCATGATAAATATCTATGCTCCAACTTGAGGGGGAGTGTGAAAGACATTAGAATATACTTTAGAATATACTTTAGAATATTCTTCTATCCTTAGAATATACTTTAGAATATTTTAGGAATATACTCTAGGATATTATTATTGTATAGAATCTTATAGGAATATTCTATCTTTGTAATGTATATTTATAGGGACTTAACCCTCCAATGAAATACACAGAAAATCTTTCCTCCTCTCTTCAATATTATATTTTGTAGTTTATATTTCAACATTTTGCAAAGGCTTCCCCTGATTTTCAGGTGTCCAGTAATTAAATCTGGATGGATTTACTCCTTTGTCCTTCCATCCCCTTTTGTCTATCTCTCTGATTTTCAATTCCATATTGGCATATTCTTCTCTTCCACTAATAGAGCCTTATCCATGAGTTCAGTTAACCCACCAGACTGGTACAACTTTATTTCAGCTCTTACCTCTTCTTTGAGCCCATTCAGAAAAACCCTTTCAACATTTCTTGGTCAGTATTTCTCAGTGGCGCTACAACTAGTTCAAACTGATCTCTGTACTAGTGTACTCCATTACAGATCCGATCTGTTTGATATTGAGCATCGTACCAAACGGATTCTGTACTAACTCTTGTTGGAATCTCTGGATCAAGGCATCCTTGAAAATTTTCCATTTGTGATAAGCGGTTTGTTCATCCCACCACTGGAACCAAATTAGAGACTTATCAGCCATGATGATCAACATGATCTCCACTTTGTCAGCCTTATCTTGCATTTTCATGTGTGAATTCTAAATATGTTAGGAAACAATAAATCTCAGGAAACAATAAATAATAAAATATAACATCAAGCTAGACTACTCATTTAATTAAATGTCTCTCTGGCCCATATGCTTCCTTCTACGGTATGGAATCCCATAAAAAGCATCCATAACATCACTCCCTCCCTCGACACTAAGCTTGTCCCCAAGCTCAAATCCTGGATAAGCAGCGACAAAAATCTCAAATGGCTCCCAAGTTGCCTCAGCTGGTGTACTGCCTTGCCATTGTACTAATAGTTCCTTCTCACCTCTGTTTAAGCATACACGAAGAACATTGGCTGGTAGAGGCAGTGTTTTGCCATCCTTTAGTGGTGGTAGCAGCCCTGGTGCCGGTGGAATGCTCCCTTGATGAGGCTTTAATAAAGTGACATGGAAAGTGTTGTGGGTCTTACTCTCTGGTGGCAATTCTAACTGATATGCCACACTGCCCACCCTTGCTAATACTTTACAACAACAACAACAACTACATCCAAGCTTTAGTCCCAAAAGATATTGGGGTCGGCTAACATGAATCGATACATGATATCACCACCAAAAGGAAAAGAAAGAAAATAAAGATAAAAAATAAGCTATTATAAAAAGATAATATAAAACGAGATGAATATACCTAAAAATGATAAAATAAAAAGGATATGAATAATGTTTATATATATAAGGATAAAAGAAATTGCATTTTTATCTATATTTTTGCATAAATATGATAAGTAATATTATATTTTTGTGTATATAAAATACATATATACACATACATTAACAAACATGAATGATAGAATTATCACATTTAATCATACGTATAAATAATCACTTAAATTCATTATGTTATAAATATAAATAATGATGAAATTTAGGTATATATATAAACATATGCAGTTTCATCTTAATTTACAACTTCATTTCTTTATATTCACTGCTAAAGCTAAAGTACATATATCGCTTAGAAAATAAAAAATAAAAAATAAAGTAATGTTCGCGAATCTAGACGGCCTAGGCGGCCGATTAGGCGCTCTAGACGGACAACTAGGGGCCATAGGCAGCCGACTAACGGCAAACCAATTAGTCAGAGCGCCTAGACGAAAATCGGGGCGCCCGGTCACCGCCTAGCGCCTAGGCGGGGAATAGTCAGACATCTAGAACGATTTTTAGAACCGAGATCAAATCTAATGGTTGTGATTGATTTTCTAGAACCATATTAGCCTATTGCTTATTGACAATAATTTTTTTATACTTCGTTTCTTGAGTATAAGTATTTAGTTTTTTCTTTCATTGTAGCTCTTCATTATCTAGAAAATGAAGCTGTTTTAAAGAGCATCATTATCCATTTTGTTTTGTTACTCCATGAATATTAATGCAATGAGCAGGTTAATCTTTTCTAGTTTTATGCAACATTTTACGTTTTGAGGTTTATATGTTATAACTGTTCTTATCCACTAAATTTTGACAGCATACGCAATCGTTGAGGATGTCATTTGATTATATTTAATTCAGTGCAAAATCTATTTATTGAAAGACTAGGAATACCAAATCAATATGATATGATTCCCCTGCAGGTGACATTGAGAAGGACTTGGGCAAAAATGCCCCTATGGCACAAGACAAAATTAGTTTATTCATTGATGTTTCAAGCCTTATTTCTACCAAGCCCCGACGACATCAATAGAATGGTCTGCCTTCTTTTGCTATATTATATTAGGTGGTTTCTTTTATATTGCAAACCCATATTAAAACAATAAAATCCCTCCCCCCAAAATAGAGTCATGTGTTCTATTTAAAAACAAAGTTCTCCTAGAAGAGGATTCGTGTTTGAACAAAACAGATCTATTTTCCATGTGCCCCCCCCAATTAGAAAAGAAAAAAGGTTAGAAACGAGTAAAATATTTGTAAACAACCAAATAAACTGGGAAAATGTATGATGACTTGTAAGGATTGTACATTTGTACGTCACAAAAACTAGACGTTGCACCTTGATCAAACAACATTACCCCAGTGCCGCAAAGGCTCCCACCTACGGTGGGTAGGGGAGGTCGGATGTACGCAGTCATACTTGTGTACTAAAGCATGTTTCCGGATGAAAATTGCGTCAAAAATTGCATGGACTGATTGTTGGTTCTTAAGAAAGCGCAGACAATTTTTTTATCAAACATGTTAGTTTTTTTTGTTTGAGGGGATGCTTTTGACCCCATGATGGTGTACTTTTTGTTTCAATGCAGTTGAAAGAAATGGATGATGTCGATATGCTGACTCTTGTTATTCAAGAAATAAGCAAACAATTCCCAACTCTAATGGAGACACTAGTACATGAGCGGGATCAGTAAGTGATCTGTGCTTATGGAAAAAGGCATTATAACTTTACCTCTATATTTAGGACGAGTTCACACTGAGCAAACCAAACGAAAGATTATATGCCTCTGAATTCTGATATCTCTGTGCTCTTACTTCTCAGGTATATGTCGTCAAGACTACGTGCGGTTGCTTGTCAACATAATTCTGTTTTGGCTGTTGTTGGAAAGGGCCACCTCATCGGAATGCAGAAACACTGGCAGAAACCCATTAAGGTTTGTATTAAAGCGTTTAAATTTGAAAGCAGTCGTGGAGTCTCTCCCCCTTTTATGGTGGCCCAGGGCTCTAATTGACCCTTAAAGAAGTTAGTAAAGGGTGGCCCAGCTATCTCCTTCTCCTGACAACCTGACTCCCTCAGCCCAGCCCTGAAAAATTGTGTGGGTCCATAGCCTGCCTGTCTATGTGTTCTTTTACAATCTAAAGAAGCCTGAGAAGGTTTGTTGCCATCGGAATTTGCACCAAATATTTGAGGGCCCATTTGGAACCCAGAAAATGCTGGGGAAAGAAAATTGGGAGGAAAGCTGAAAGCAAAGAAAACTTGAAAATTTATTCATTTTAGATAGTTGTTCAAGTTTATTTTATTTCTTTATTTCTGTTATATAGGAGACCAAGAAATTCCTAAATCTCAAGAGTTTAAATAGCTAGATCAGTTGTCATTTTCCTTGCATTTACAAGATAAAACCAAATGTAAGAAAAATGACTTTCAGTGATCGTTCATTTACTCCCACTACCATTTCCACTTTCTAAACATAGCCTAAAAGAATGTTTATTCTTTTTTTGGGGTGGGGAGTGGGGATGGAGCTCACATAAGACACACCTTGTTGGCTACATCCAGAAGTACAAGGTCAGATCCATTTATATATGGGGGAGCCACCCCCCCACCCCCCGAATCGCCCGATAGACTTGGATTGTAGTTAAAAGTATACTCTCTTTGGCCTGCTAAGATTGTTTCATCTTTCCTCTAAGGTCCGTCCCACTAAGATTGTCCCATACTAAATTTGATAAAGTTTGTATGGATCCAAATCATTCCTACTTTATTTCACATAAACCCACTTTTCTTAATAACCACACCCCCTCCTCATGTCCAAATGTTAGTGGGACGGAGGTAGTAATAAATTTAGTCAGATTTGTATATAGTGCTCCAACAGAGAAAATACTATGCCCTCAAATAAAAAGAAATTCAGTCTAGGTTAAAAATGATTATCTAAAGAGATTAGCTGTCCATAGGGGTGGGGGTTCCTTAAATATTACTCCCTCCGCCCCTATCTTTGTACCATTTTACCTTTTTCGTCCCTCACACTAAGTTGTCCCATACCATATTTGGTAATATTCGAGTAATTTGTAGTCCATTATTACTTGATTCAAATTTTACCAATTCAATATCAACCATACATATTCACTTTTAAAAGAAACCACAACACCCCATCTTGTCCCAAAAAGTGAATACTTTTATATATGGACAAAAATGTGACTCAAAAGGTAATAGAATTTGAAAGTTATAATGCCATTGCCAGTTTTTCTAATGTCACTGTTAGTTCATTATGTGACTGTCAATGTCACTGTTACCGCCACTGGTGTTACTGTCAAGGTAAAACTTGTCACTGTGACCATCAAAAAATTTCCCCGGCGACTCTTTCAGCAAAAATTAAAAAAATTTAAAACTTTTACGGTGAAATTTTCCAGCAAAAATTTCCCAGTAAAACTGTTAGTTCAACGCCCTGCGGCAACCACCGGCAATAGTTGCTCAGCAGGGGCGCAGGGGGCAGGGGTGGATAGTTTGGTTGGAACTAGATTTAAAAGAAAAGTATATATTAATTGCGGAAGTTCAGTCACATTTTTGTAAGATCGAAAACTATTTATTTGTTTACTGTAAAATTATTCATATTTTTGTCTTCCAAAAGTGTATAGGTATATTTTTGTCATTTCCCCCAAAAAAATACACACAATAACCATGTGTTTCATAATAAATCCTAAAAAACTAAATAAGGGCTAGACTAACAATTGTTTAGTAACTAAAGTTACGCCAAACAAAATACTTTTAGACTATTTTCATTATAAGATTATGAGATAAATTAGGTTACAAAGAAAATATGATAAGACAAAAATGACAGTCAAGTGTGCATTGGAGTCCCGCAAAGAGACTATTTCCTATATTTGAAAACAACACCTTAATGAGTGCGTCAAGGGTCCCTTCATAATTGATAAAAACTAGCAAATAAAATAGTAAGCCATCAAATAACACTTGAGACTATAATTTACCCTAATTAATTCATAAAATTTATTATATAAATGCAAGTAGTTTTGCACCACTATGCACGAGAAAAGCTAAACATCTTCAATTCTATATTACTTCTTGTCAATTACACCTTAAGTAGTACAACTGGAATATTCTCAATGGCACCTTAACTTCTTGTTTACTGGAACATGTATGAAGCAATCAACTAAATATTGATCATATTTTCTAATCTGCATATTATTCTACTGGTACCAAAAACTAGAAGAAAATTATAGAATTAGTAAATTAATCTTTCTTGTCATATTTTAAAATTGAAATAGTATTCATTGACTAAAAATAGAATTAATGCTATTTATACTTTATTATTAAATTAGTTTTGAAGTATTATAACATATTTTTATCACCTAGTCTAACATAGATGATATTGCAAATAAGAGGATGTGTAATTAGAATAAAAATACAATCACCTTGTTCTAACACTTTTTTGTTAGAGCATGTAAAATATGGTAAAAGTACTACTTTCGTCCCGTTGAAAGATTTTCATGACAAAACGACATGGTTATTTAGACAATAATTAAAAAGGTAATTTGAGTATATTTTGATAAATAATTTTAATAGGTATATAATATAACGGGGTTAGTGTTGATAATTGTGATGTTATAAATATATTATTTTTAATACTTAATGATTAAATCGTCATTTAAGATTGATAATTGTTTCCTAAAATAAAAATGAGAACCTTTACATGGGAAGTCGAAAAAAAGAAAGAGAACTTTTCTATGTGATGGAGGGAATATTATATTTTTTTGTGAATATTATATTTGTGCGATGCACGGGTCTAATCACTACCAAGAGTTAGTCATAGTTAAGTGCACACATTTGATCATCTTTATTGTCTGTGAAAATAGGAGTTATTCATTAGGAGAAGAATAAAACTATAGTAGTTAATCATCATAATTACCCCCTAGGAAGCACGGAAACGCCGATTTAGACCACGTTCCCGTCCCGGAAACGTTTCGGAAACGCGAAACGCCGGGAAACGCCCGGAAACGGCTGGGAAACGTTTCTTTGCTCATGGGCTGTTGGGCTGGGTTGGGAAACGTTTCGGAAACGGGAATATCATTGGGCCTGTGCGTTTCCACTTAATTTTCTAAAAAAATTGAGGGCGGTCAATAATGAGCTACGCAATCGGGCATTTAGTGTTTAAAAAAAACCTGCGCAGTTCGCTGGAGTCCGCCTCTACGATTATTGTCCTCTCTTGAACTGTAGCGACGCAACAACGCTGGGTGAGTCAGTGACGAAGGGAGACGCAGAGCAGAACGATCTCCTCTGGAGGCTGGACTTGGTGATTTGGTGAAGGCCTTCTGCTGCTGCGGTGCTGCTTACTGCTTAGCTTTTTCACTCAACGGGTGGGTGGGATTTGCTTTTATAACAAAGACATATGTTTTGTTTGATTATTTCGTACTTGTTGGACTTAAACATTACTCATACTAGTAAAATTTTAATTTTTAGTTCGGCGTTTCCTTGCCGTACCCGTATCTTGATATTTTGGGTTTAGAGTTTCCCCGTCCCCGTTTCCGTCCCCGTTACCGTACCCGTTTCCGTCCCGGTGCTACTTAGATTACCCCATTGCCGCAAAGGGGTAAGGGGGGTCAGATGTACGCATCCGTACCCCTGTACTAAAGCACAGAGAGATTGCTCTGGATGACTCATAGTGAAAAGCGCGTCAAAAATTGTATGGACTAACTGCTGTTTCATAACATAGTGGTTAATAAAGAATAAAATTATACTACCTCCATCCCAAAATGAAAGTTACACTTTACTCTTCTTCAATGGTCAACATAGTTCCCTTTGATGTCTATAATTTTTTATATATTTAAATTCAAAATTTGCGACTTTGTAGACCTTTCAATGTAGTTTATGAACGTGTAAATTTTAGATTCTAATTAAAAATTGATAGGAGAAGTTTGCTTTATCATCAGTCAAAAATCAAAATCTATAATGGTCATTTTGGGACGGAGGTAGTAGTTAATCGATTTTCATAATTTGCAGCTGAATGAATTGCTTAGCACCTTGCCCCCTTCAAAGAAACCCACAGGGCATGTGAAGAAAATTTTGACAGCTCTTGGAATTGCTGTTGCAGGAGCGGCTGTAGCGTCGCGACTGTATTTCTCAACTAAGAAGTAAGCAAATGTGCTTTCTAGTCTATCATAATAGGCCCATTAACTGTATGAACACAGACACACATACACACACAGAGAAAGAAAGGCTTTGCAGGTGTGGAAGAGTCCATCCTAAAAATGTGTGAGCACACAAAGTCCCTTAGTTTTGCCTTCAAATAGATGCAGAATTTTTCCTCCCTTTAAACCCAAAGAATTGGATGTTTGAGTAATCAATGGAAATAGTTTGTTTTGCATACTCTTCTTTTGACATTGGTTCTTTGTTCTATTGGTAATTTGGGTACGGAAACCAACTTTGTGATGATGATGAGTCCCTATGATTCTATGAAAGAGAGGATCGAATGATTTATTTATTTGTCTCGTAATTAATTAAACCAGAAGTCAGCTTTTATATATCTTTGATGGAGTGTATGACAAGATTACATGACGGGGTCCTAATAAAAAATCAATTAAAACAGAGATAAAGCAATTAAATCTATTTTAAAAAATCCATCTTTGCCTCCTCGGTGAGCAGTATGAGTGTATGACCAGGTGGTTTTGGAGCACGTTTTCACTAGGGGTTGCTGGGCCTGGGCAGCCCGACCTGGGACCGGCACTCTTGGTACCTGCCCGGGTCCAATTTTCTGAGACCGGTACTGGCCCGGACCCTGGCCTGAGGTTATATAGAAGGCGGGCTACGGGCTCACATTTTGGGGAACAGCCCGGTCGGGCCCGGGCCTAAGAGTCATTTTTTATTTTTAAAAAGAGTATTATTATACTTGTTTTTTTGGTTCATTACCTATGTACGAAGATAAGTCCATAGATCCTATTTCCTAAAGAACAATACAATGAGGTTAGTCACTTATTTCATCAATTATTTAATGAGTTCTTGCACACTATGGTAATGCACCCTTCCCCCCGAAATCAATTCCTTCTTGATCTAAAGGAAAATCATTTTTCAAATCTACATCTGATAATTCTATGGAAAAGTCAATTTTCACTATTGCACAAAGCTTGATTAACAAGCTTTCTTTATAGCTAACGTTTTCTTGTGAGTATGAAGAAGTTGATTTTGACGTGTTCTCAAATGGTGGAAGAAGAAAGAAGGAATGTTCCCGATTTTTTATCGAAGATGACAAATCAATGCCGGTGTCAATAGTAATAGTGGAACTGTGGAACAAGAATTTAACGAAGGCCTGGCATAGAACTCAAGAGTTTTGCATCGTCCCTGACCGCCACTTCATGGAGGAAACAACAATCGATGTTGGCGGAGATTCCGGCGATTAGCATTTTTTACTTCATATTTAGTAATTATAGAACCGACACTTTGCATCTCAATTCTCAATTGTACTTCATATTTCAAATAAATATACATTTACTTTTTAAGGTCTAGCATTTGTTCAATAAATTAGGAATTAAAAAAATAAATGAAACCTGGCCCGACCCGACCCTGGATGGACTGAGGTCCGACTGGATACTCAGACCGGAATCGGTACCGGAGCATACCGGGCTTTAATTCTTGGAAAGTTTGACAATAATTCTACCTTTCACTAGTCTTCTCATAATAATACCACCTTTACGTAATCCCAGAATAATCCCATCTTTGCAACGAAAGAAGATATATTATGAGATGAGCAGTGAAAGTTGTGATTATTCTTGTCAATTTTTCCTTAATTCTTTAGTACCGTGGCCGGTGGCCTGGCCCGAGTCCAACCCCAGTTTTCACCCGAAATTATTTAAAATTAATCTCACTTGACCTCTTCCTCGAGTAATATAGGAAAAATTCACAAGAATAATCTCAACTATTACTAATCTTCTATTATTAATCCTAAATATGTGTTATTCTAAAATAATCTGAAATTCGGTGGTTGTCTTCTGATGTTGATCTTAGTTGACTTGCTACCTGCTAAACGGGTAAAAAATTAACAAAATAAGAAAATATCTTTATATTATATAAAGTAGCAAAGTTTGCTACAAGTTTTGGAGGCAAAATTGTCGCCCAAATTAAGGGCAAAATTGTAATTTCGAATGCCTTGAAAATCACTACGTACTTAATGTAATTAATGCGCTAAAAAAGTATATGTTGACTACATGCTCGGTTTATTTGGCTTCAAATCCCACATGTAAACATTTATTAATTAAGGATGTAAATTGTATCATCTTAATTACGTAGTATTATCTTACCATAAATATAATTGATTCTTTAAGAAACATGAACCTGATTCCTTTTGATAATAATTAAATATGAGCAAATGTAGAAATAAAGTTACGTCACTTGAATAAAGTTACATGGTAATGTCAAGTTTTACTTTTACTAATAATACAATGATACACTTGAATGAATATAATGGATCGTATAGATGCTAATAAAAGAAAGTAAATAATAATAATACGGGGTATAACCTTCCAAAGAAACTAATCATATATATCATGCATGTTTTACAAAGATTTCATGGGAAAGAAACATGAAAGAAAAGCATAACAATTGATTTCCATACATTTGCAAAAATAATATGCAATTGAATTGAAAATATTTTGAGAAATAGTTTTGATAAGTATAATATAATACCCCGTATATATAATGAGGTCATTCATGATAACTGTGATGTTACATATATACTTTTAATATTTGATGATTCAATTATCATTTAAGAGTGATATTTGTTTCATAAAATAGAAATGATAACATTTATATGAGACATCCAAAAAGAAAATTGTGAACCTTATAATCAGACGAGAGGAGTAACAATTAGTTGATATAATTAAAATCGCGCTACCAAATAGATATTGTGAGTCTAATTTGCAAATCATTTTGGAACAAGAGAGTATAAGAATGGTTGAAACATGAGATATAATATAAAAGCAATTCTTACGTCTCATAATTTTTTTACGGCATTTGTGAAAAGTATTATGACAATTACTTAATTAAGAGCCCGTTTGGTAGCACGAAAATCGGCTGTTTTGGCTGATTCTGCTGAAATTTATGAAATTCTAGCTGAAGTGCCTGCATTGGCTGATTTTGCTGATTTAAGAAAAAATTATTTTTAAAATATATTTTATTAATAAAATAATGAAAAAATTATATGTAAAATAGTTAAAATGGTCATCTACAGTAACTTCAGCCAATACAGTCAAAAAAGTAACTCCAACCTTACTTTTTCTGCTTATTAAACAATTCAACGCGCGAAAGCAAAAATTACGTGTTTGGTGAAAAAGTTGGTTGATAAGTCTGATAAGCCAAAAAACAGTGTTGCCAAACGGCTTGTAAGATAACTAACTTCTCTAAAAAAACTCCGGTCACCAAATATGTAATAGGTATGATAATAAAGTTGTTTTTACATGAACTAATTTAATCTCATGTCAGATCATACTTCGATGGTTGTAAAAACTTTATATATATATATATATATATATATATATATATATATATATATATATATATATAACATATAGTAGCAAAGTTGTTATAAGTTCTGGATCTACAAATTATTAATTAATTTATGTCACTCATGGTATAACGATGGTCAAGGTCGTCTAATGAATTTGGAGGCCCCGGTTCCAAATGGTGATTTGAGGCCCCTTAAATTAAGAAAAAATATAAAATTTAATAATGAAATACAAAAAAAAACTAGATATTTAAAGTATGATGTTTTATGATGTTTAAAATATATGAATTAGAGAATTACAAGTTATATATACTTTTCCGAATAATCTTGAATAATATCTAACATCTAGAAAAATCAAACTATACCTAATACTACATTCTAAACTTTTGGAGGCTTCCCTAAAAAGTTAATTCATTAAAAATGTATACTTTCAGAGTTAGTTGATTTGTGGGATTTATTTAAGAAATAAGAACTATCCTAACCATTAGAATATCACATTACTGAAACGTCATATATATAGTAAAATAGAAAAAAATATACTTCGGATATATATGATTAGGCAATCAAGTTATTCATGAAGCTCTTTTATTCATTGTCAATATATATGATTGTTTCATTTTATAAAGTTCCATGAAACTCACTGATAATTTATGAGTTTTTTCCCAAAATTTATGAAGCTCTTTTATTCATTTTCAACATACCCCCGTCCCAAAAAGATTGGCCAAATTGACTTTTTTGGTCAACTTTGACCAATGATATCTTTTAATACAAAATTATTTGAAATATGAAAATTATATGAGCTTATTCTTTACTAAAATCTCTTTCATAAAAGTATAAAATTTATAAATTACACATAAATATAATACCTAAAATCATTGTCTAAACTAATCATTGACCAAGAAAAGTCAAATTGGTAATCTTTTTGGGGCGGAGGTAGTATATGATTGTTTCATTGTATAAAGTTTCATGAAACCCACTAATAATTGTACTATCAAGTTATTTCATTGTCATTTAGAGTTATTATTAAACCTTATCATTTATTTTAATTTTACTTTCAATTTTTTATACGATCCAATATTATATTTTCTAACACCTACTACAACTTATACACAGTGTTCTAAAAGACGTAAGACCTGCCGAGGCGGCACGACCGAGCCTGAAACCTTTGAAGCCTAGGCGAGTGTAGGCGAACATTAAGCGTGAAAAGACATTTTGATTATTTACTCATTATTTTATTATTTCTACAACAATTGCTAAGTGTGCAAGTGTAATGTTAGATCATATCACACAAAGTATCACACTATTTTATTTTTCAAATAAGTTATTTGTTCAAACAAAAAGTTATTGTTCAATTTTAGATATACTCTGTGCATTTGTTTTTCCGTTTTCCTTTATTTTCTTCCTAATTCCTTTTCATACTTTCTGTGTATCCCCACCCCCTCTTTCCTATTCTAATTTGCACAGCCATGGTCGTATGTTATCCGTCATATTCTTTGCACTTTCTTTTTGTCCCTTCATTGCATTAAAGGGAAAGCCAAAAAACGAAAAATCTTGTAAATGAGACCCAGGTGGGAGGGGGCGAAGTCGGTCTGTCTTCCCCCTCGATCAGCCCTTCACAGCTCCCCGCTCCTTGCCCGTACCGTCTCCACCAAGATCAATAGCAGTCCCCTCCTCTTCCTCGATCAATCCTTGCCATGTCTGCACCAAATCCTCAATTGAAGCCACCTTCTCCGCGGTCTTTCCTGCTGCCTGCATCTGTTTGGATCAAGCCGCCAAAGGACACCTCCAAATACGCTGTCGTAGGAACCCTAAACCGATGGACGTCTACGTAGAATTTACTACGACAAAACCAAAACAATCAATCAATCCTTGCCACACAATTAACAATAAAGCTAATAAACAAACTTGATTTCGGCCAAAGCCAAAGGAACGCCGCACGACTGATCTCAGTAGAATGAAAAAAACCTACATGATATAGGGAAATAAGACAAACAACCACTTTTACGTGAAGAGGTTGTTTGGAACCACCGACTTATCAGCCAGTTTTTTCGCCAAACACGTAACTATTGCTTTCGCGCGCTGAATTATGTAATAAGCAGAAAAAGTAAGGTTGAAGTTACTTTACTGGCTTTATTGGCTGAAGTTACTGTAGATGACCATTTTAGCTATTTTTACATAATTTTTTTTCTTTATTTTATTAATAAAATATATTTTAAAAATAATTTTTTCTTAAATTAGCATAATTAGCCAATGCAGCCACTTCAGTCAGAACTTCATAAATTTCAGCGGAAACAGCCAAATCAGCCGATTTTCGTGCTACCAAACACGCAAATTATATCGTGCAACCGGCGCACCATGAGGATGGTGCGCCCGGTTGCAAAACGACGGAGTATTGAGGCCTGATTTCTTGTTTTTTTATTCTTTTGTTTTTAAAAAATGGTAATAACTTTTTTATTTTTGATCCGATTTTTATAAAATTTATATCAACATTTTTTATTTTTCATGATCTTTCAAACGAGACCAATATTGCTTATGTAACTTTAAGAAATTATCGAACTATTATATTAATGTGTATTGGATTATAAGGAAAACCAAACTAAATTTAATACAGAAAAATAATTGTGTAAATCACAAATTATCTTAAAATTGTGTATATAAAAAATTTATTGTATAAGGTATTTATACATGTGATCGAGTTACATATTTTTATATGTGAAGTTACATATTTTTACACGTAAAGTTACATATTTCTACACGCGAGTTACATATATATACACACGAGTTGCATTTGACTTGCCTGAACGCGAGTTACATATATTTACACGTATAGTTACATATTTTTACACGTAAAGTTACATATTTATACACGCAAGTTACATATTTATACACACGAGTTGCATTTGACCTGTCTGAACGCGAGTTACATATTTTTTTAAGTAAAGTTACATATTTTTACACGTAGAGTTACATATTTATACACACGAGTTGCATTTGGCCTGACTAGAC